ACAATGTAACTAAGGGAACGGCGATGATTCAAATAACAGTGTGATTAAAGGAAACGACTAGACTCTTGAAAATGACGCACGTGGTACGTCGAAACTAGTCAGGGGGAATCATGTACATGTTTTTGTAAGTTTGTGTTTGTTCTTCGTTACTTAATTTGTGCTTATAAAGCTGTTAACCTTTAAAACAAGGAATTTGTACTTTCATTGATTTATCAGGTTTGTAAACGGGCAGTTTAGTAAGATAATGGTTTTTACCATAAGCTCTCACTATATATATTATAAGTTAGCGGTATATGAACTTTCAACTTTTTCTTGTATTTTAGCTGTAAACTAGAAAGTTCATTAAGATGATATACATCCTGTAGCATAACCTTAGAGATATAGTCTTTACAATGAGTACTAATCTAGATTATTTCTACTATAAAATGTTCTAAGTATATACTTTTTAACCAGTCAGGAGCGTAGGGCGACTCCCAGAGGCGTAGCCAAGGAGGGAAAGGGGGCCTGGCCCCCTGAAAATCTAGGCATATTGATCACATATTATTTTTCAGCTTTTGTATATAATAAACTCGCTTTGTATCATTTAATAAAACTTCTATAAACACTATTACATTTGATTTGATTTCTTATAATGACCATTTTACTAAAAAAATTAGATCAAAAAAAAATCCCCCCCCCCCGAGCGATAAACCTGGCTATGAGGCTTAAGGTATGTGCACGTAGGACAAATATTTTAATATCAATGTGCTCCTCAATGGATCAAGATAAAACCTTTTAGACTAATGAAAATAAAAAATAAAACATTTTGTAAATGTAAAAACAACTACTTTCTCTCACCATTCCTTAAAACTGTCAAAAAAACAACAACAACGAATTTACATTTGTTTCAGTTCTACACGTTCTAAAACGAATTACTGACTGATGCCGGTAAATAAATTGCAAATATCACAAACTTCAAATGTACTGCCATGAATATAGAATTTTAAAAAGTCTTACATGATAAAACTTAATATTTTGCATCGGTTGCTTATTAAGTCAATACCTGAAGAAGAAGAAAACGTTTAGGAGTAATAAGAAGTTTCCCCAATATTTTAAATATATTTCAAAAGACCCATTTATAGTGATAGTATTAAAACATAATTTACTGTATATTATACACCTAAAGCTAGTGTGAATATTTTAAACACATACAGGGAGTAGAAAAGTCTGAAATCCTAGGCACTTCAACGACTTTTACAGAATGTGTTCCACACGTTGTTCTTATAATCCGAAACAAGTCTTCATTTTCCTTGAACGCTGCGAAACGTAATGGTGTCATTGTCAAGCGAAACGTAATCGTGTCATTGTCAATGGTTCACACTGTCAATCTCCTTAAATTTAGCTAGTAACTTCCCAGCAGTACTGTGAGCGACGTTTTCTTTATTTCTCTCTCTCTCTGGATGGCGATGGCGTGCATTAAATTCCGTAGTTACCTTCCACTAGCACCAACCTTCTCTGCTACACAACAGGATTAACTCGACTTTCTCATGCTTTAACAGCGCCATATTCAGTTACGTATTTGAAATTAAGAAAAGTTGCAAATCACCAATGGTTCCAGACTTTTCGAACACCTTTTAGTTTATAAACACAACGATAACTTAAAACCGGTTTTATTTTATATATTTTTTAAAAATAACCAATGAAATTCAAGAAAAGTGCAAAACAAAAACAACAACAAAAAACGTATAATGTTTATTTTTAAAACCTATACTGACAAGGAAACCTGGCCAGGTGGATAAGGCGCTCGACTCACAATCAGAGGGTCGCGGGTTCGAATCCGCATCCCACCAAACATGCTCGCTTTTTCAGCCGTGGGGGCGTTATAATGTGACGGTCAATCCCACTATTCGTTGGTAAAAGAGTAGCCCAAGAGTTGGCGGTGGGTGGTGATGACTAGCTGCCTTCCCACTGCTAAATTAGGGACGGCTAGCGCAGATAGCCCTCGTGTAGCTTTGCGCGAAATTCCAAAACAAACAAAAGAAGGAAACCATTTGTAACCATGTAACAAGTGAAATTCAAGAGCAACTTGCAAACACTTATTACATTGAGTTAACATATACAGGTTGGTATTATGTTCAAAGAAATATATACATTCGCTTTCAGCGGTAGTGTATATAGAGTGAATCTTAAACAGAACTTAAGATCTTGTTACTAAAGAACTTCGAACATTGCACCTCGTGACAGGCTTCAGAACAATGGTAAGCCCAGCCATCTGATTATCGTTCAACAAGGTATTACACGGATGCTTTTCGTTTGTAATTAAGCACAAGGCGTTATAATGTGACGGTCAATCCCACTATTCGTTGGTAAAAGAGTAGCCCAAGAGTTGGCGGTTGGTAGTGATGACTAGCTGTCTTCCCTCTAGTCTTACACTGCTAAATTAGGGACGGCTAGCGCAGATAGCCCTCGTGTAGCTTTGCGCGAAATTCAAAACAAACAAACACATCTTACATTCAGTCAGAAAGAATATTCTGGGCAGAAAATCAAAACCAATGTTTAAAATTAGACGAATTTATGTCTGCAAAACATACCTACAAAGTATTGACTACACTGCTTCTAACTGTTTTCAAAAGAAACTTATCTTCATTTTCTTCATATAACTGTCATTCTTAAAATTCCTAGTGAGTATATATATATTTTTCAAAGTCTAATAGCAAAAGTAGTAAACAAAGCAACTATAAAGAAACCTATTAAAGCACTCCTTTAGATGGGAGTATGGTAATTGAAAAAAAAAAACTGTTGTATTTCACCCTTCCATAACTGAAAAATAATGTATCGTTAGTTAGGTATGTTCGAAAGAATTTTTCTACAATTTTTTTGTGCTTGGCTTCTGCAACTAGATAGT